TTATGCACATGGCTAGAGCATTAATTAATCTAATTCATTCAGTAAATGATTGCATTTTTGTAGCACTGAGTTTACCTCACTCAAGACAACGAGAAGTTCCGTTATCTGGTGTAAAGGAAACGATAGGCGACAACGCTATACTCTATTTCAGTCTATTAGCTCTACCTACTCAGTTAATGAGGTGTGAGTGCTGGAGGTGCTAACAAGAAAGTGCTAACAAGTTACGCATGCTGGGTAACATTTTTTGTGTTCGTGGTTTACAAATTTTGCTCCAACATCATTCATGTATACTTCGTTCGTGACTAACTCGGCTAAAAATGCATTCTGACTCGTGCAACTGTAAACGATGCATGTATTCCATACACAAGAAACCACATAAGGTAAATTTTAGCTTCTTAATGCTCTTGGATAAAAGCTTAATATGAAGGAGCAAAATTTCTAATTCTTCATAAAACCAGGCATATGTTAATAACATTGTTATGAGTTATTTTGTCTTTAATATGCACAAGCTATAAATTTGGCATGTGTTTTTCCCCTCAAAAATTTGTTCATTCTCTCAAGTGATAGAATTTATTGTTTTACAGACAGATAAAAGATAACATTAAATGACTCTGTTGGACTCGTTGAAATGTTGGCTTTCTCATACATAATTGTTGTTGCATTGAAGTCCTACTTGTGATGTGAATAAATCGCCTGCATCAAATTCATTCTATTGTTTCTTTTATACATATGCACGCTATATAGCCACTGTGGATGTTCTACCTGCACATACATCAATTTATTTTTCGCTTGCTATTAACCTTATGTGCGACGTACCCTCGAAGTTCGTTTGAATCAGACGCCACGATAAATGCTTTGTAGAACAATAATTATATTGATAATAATATCAATATTAATAATAATAATGTTAATTATAATAATACTACTACTTCGTACTTCTGCTATCACATGTCATCATGCTTACGCACTCTCTCTCTCATGTGCGCATTGAATTTTTGGTATATTATCAATAAATTGTTCTTAAAAATACATTTATTTTGAAATTATTTCGGTTATAATTAAGCATTTGTTGTAGAATAGGAAATTTATTTGCTTGTGGCATAGTTCGCTCGTGTTGGAGGCTAAGGAAGAAAAATCAGCCTTAAGATTCAAATTAGTTGTTATAATTAGATGGCTGCTTTAATCCATTTAGACAAGTTTAGTTGTAAAAAATTTATTCTTTCTACAAGCCTACAATATCCTAATAGTATTTCCATTTATGCTCACCATTATTTTTCGTATGTTACTTGGTTAAATTTTTCTGAATCTTCCTTTTAACGTGGAACTCGTTTTTGTGTTGCTCGTGTGTCTGATGTTGGCGCGTGATTTTGTTTTGAAATTCCGGATACCTGACGCGGGCGCTCGGGTATTTTTATGAACGGAAGCTCGTCTTATTTGTTGATGGGAGCCCGAGCGTAAACAGGATATCTCGCAGACCAGGATATTCTCTGAGCCACATTTGACATGATAGAGGACAAAATAATGTGTTTTAATGAAGGTTCTGTTTGCTTAGTTTGTAAATTTATTAAATTAAAAATTAGTTAAAATTTGTTTAGTTTGTATTATGCTGTTACTCCTAACGAGGGCCTAGCGGCATCAGAATGAAATTTTGTTTTCACGTGAAATGATTTAGTGTTCGAACATGATGGAGGAATTTTTTTAATTTTTTAATTTAAGGAACATGTTGGAGGATGTATTTTATCTAATTATTTGGGTTTAAATGGGATGCCTTGAGACATTACATTTAATTGCCCGCTTGGCATTAATTTCGATATAAGCGAGTTATAAAGTTTGAAGCCGTCGTAGCACTGGCCCACTGTAGGATTCCTGATCAAGGGTGAAGGTCAGATCCGTCCTTGTGAGATTTAAATTCATTTTCCGTCGTACGTAGTTACTCGTGTCTTATATGAGTTGAATCATGATTCAACTCATAATATATGAGTTGAATCATGAGTGGGAACAATCTCTTCATTGAATTTTATACTTCTTGGAGATCCTTTTTTTACAAATTTTCTAAGTAAAAACTCTAAAATCTGCGCGAAATCTTCTTACTTTAGTTTAAAGAAATGACCGTTCGTAAGTTGCTTAGTGCATGGTTGTCTTGACTTTAGAAAACTTTCTATAGGCGCAGCTATTGAATGGAATAAAACTTCAAAAAATCCATTTACTGGCAACTCGGTGTTCAGGATTTTCGATTCCTTGATTTTGAATTTTCATAAAATATTTGTATGGGTTATATAGGTATTCGGTGGACAAATTAAACGGCACGCGATTAAAGTCGTTGTGAATTTTCCAACAAACTTTTTGGTCTCGCATTCGGCTTCGAAATGATTTGAGTGCGTTGTATGAAAGTTGTGTGTAAATCTACGGGAAACTGCTCCCTCTCTTCATAATTTTGTTTCAATTAATTTTTTTAAAATTAAGCTTGTAGGTAATGTTCGGTCACCGGCACGGTCCACTAAGCTGGCGCCGTTTTAAAAATTCGCGCTGTTATCGTTAGCAATCTTCAGTGTAATGATTGAAAAAATTCACCATGGGCGTGTAGATGAAAAATATGCATTGTTTCTTTTTTTAATCAATCTATGTGAATAAAATGGCGCACAAAATAATACTTCCCTCAATTCAATTTACGTGAATCAGAACGTCAGGTCTTTGTAATGCCATCTTTAATTATCCGCTCATTTATTTGGTTTTTAATACTGGGAGAGAATAATCGATATTTTTTCGTTAAATTACATTTTTTTAGTCCCGATTTGTTTCAAGTGTCATTTATAATCTATTCAATTTCATAATTGGGATCCAATTTTTTAAACAATTAGCTATTTTTTCACTCCTGTGACGTAAATTTCATTTCCGACTCCAGTTTGTGTTAAAAATTTTCTACAGGTAAATTAAAATTCCGGGTTGTTTCAATTGATGAAACATTGATTGATTGCGTGTTGATACTTAATGTCACAATCAATTGTTGAACGGTAATTACACCCTTGAAGTATGAAACTCCTGCATAATGTAATTAATTTTTATTGAAGCTTGCTATATTTAATTGGTCTTAAATTTTATACTTTTTGAAATTAGATATTGTAATAACGTGTTCTTGTCTGATTGCAGGTGTGTGGAGCCCAGGTAGGAGCAATGATAGGGGCAGTAGGGACGAGGGTCCAACAAAGCTTGAGTTGAAAGAACCCCCTTCGTTTGGGGACGTTCCTCAGGTGTGGACCCCAAGCAGGGGTGAGTAACACTTTCGTTTATATAGTATAAAAATTCAAAACTTTCTCGGAGATCAAAATTCAGATGAACTTGATCTGTCCCAGCCACGCATGCTGAAATCCACCCAAAAACTTATGGCTTTAACCTGCTAATTCATCAATGGTATATTATCTCTAAAATTTTAACCTATAATTTGTTTCTCAGTGAATACAAAAAATAGGAAGCGTAATTAATATCGTGATCCAAATGCAAAAGAAAAAAATAAGTTAAGTTTTATTCAGCTACATGCCAATTGATTAGGTATTCAGCTTTCGTGAGCTTGGGCATTCGTTACGGAATTCGTTGAGTTTCATGTTGAATGGATTACTACATGAAAAAATCTTCTAACAATATTTCAATAATATTCTTCAATTCCATCGACTGCTTAAAATTTCGTTCGATTGGATCAAAATTTGAGCTCCTCTTTACTCATGATTATTTTGCTCAAAGTGATGAGAGTAGATTCAAGTTAATTGTAACTTCTATCTGGATGTCTTCTGGTGAAATTGTGATCTTTTATTCAAATAATTACCTATGAAAATTATTTAGAACTAGAATTTTTCAGTTCAATAGGTATATCTGCGTTTATCTTGGGAACTTCCTCACAAAGTGTCTCACGCAAAATATTCATACAAGTTACATTTTTAGTAATATGCTCTTGCATATCATCTATGACCAGTGAAATGAATCATGAGTTCAAATTAATAATATGTCAATTTTTCTATGCATCTTGAAATGTGCTGCAATAGTTTTTTTTTAATGGCTAGCAACGCATTGTATACGCTTTTCATTGATATCAGCGTGATTGTTTTCTAGGTGGAGTTAGCTTTTTTGTACTATCATCGTGTTCATAATCACTTTATTGTAGACATTTCAACATGCATTAATTAAGTAAGAAAAAAAAATTATGAGAGATAATTAATTAAGAAAGAAAAAAGAATAATTAATTAAGAAAGAAAAGTGTCCCCCGGAATTCCAGATTTTTTATTCATTCAAAATTCGGAACAAGCTCTTTACAGTACGCAACCTTCATTGAACTAGGATAACTAGGCAGCAAATAATCCTGCTCCTAATAACATCCTAGTGCAGTTTTTGTTGGACTCGTGAGCAAGGCACTCCACCCTCTGCATCCGGTCTATCAACAAGCAATGTTTCCTGTGCTAAGCCTATCATGCCTTTTTGGCGTTCCAGATTCCATTGATTTCAATGGAATTTAAACGAGGCATCACATGCCCGCAGATTTTCATCAAGGCCTTTGTGAAAAATGTCTGGTTGCTGCCGTAGAGTTTTCAATAGTGATAAAATATGATTTTTTTTCTTTTCCTAATAAATTTAACCTTAGTAGAAAATTAGAAGAGAGAATTTCAAAGGCATGTTTCAGTTGTTATACCCGGGGGTAAACTACAAACCGAATTGTTCAGGAATGGATTTTTTCATTGTAATTCTAGAATTTTAAATATAATTAATTGTAATTTTTAACTGACTACATTTTATTGCATAATGTATGGTCATCCCTAGTAATTCATTCCTTTGTGGTATTTTTTCATTATTGCCGTGCATTTTGTAATGCAATCAAGGTGTTACTGTTATTGGAGTATTTTATTTTTTTTATTAGCTTTTTAAACTCAATTGATTATAGATCTTGTTGCACGAAATTATTTAATTTATTTTACGAGTATTATATTAAACGTAGCTGAACTTACGTATTTGTGCAGCGGGCTCAGCCAGCCCGTCGCTGGGCCGTAAGGAGTACAGGAGGGTGGCGTACGATGGCTCTACGCTGCACCGACGGCCTTCTCAGGTGACCATAATGCTCAACATATTATCACTATAAATTAACTAAGTTTACTTTGGAATTTTTTCGATTATATTTTGGATTTAAAATATTCTGCACACTGGTAGTAAAGTTATTCAAAGGATTTTGATTTTTAACTGCCGAATTGTTTCTTTTATCAGTTTTGATCCTTATATATTATATCCTTATTTTATTGTACCGTACAAAAAAAAAAGGGAAAATAATTTTTGTGCGTATAAAGAACAAAATTTTGCTCGTGCAAAGGAAAGTAAATTTAAGCATTGTAACGTTTTCGAGCGAAAGGACATTTACGATAAGTCACCTTACAGATTATTATAAAAAAATAAAAATTTTGATTCAGTGCTGATTATAATGATGAAAAATTTTTACTATGCTTCTTTTAAGCGATATTTTACCTGAATTCAGCAAATTAAGACTGAAAACCAATTAATATATTATTTATAATATTGCAGGTTCTCAGCTCCACTTTTCATTTGCATTTGCTATTTTTGTATCAAGAACCCAATTGGGTTAGAAAAACTTCTTTGTAGTTTTTAACATCAAACCAGATCATGATTGATCTGCTCAGCTAAGTAGTCACGTTTCGGCAATACTAACACAAAAGTTAATGCACCGCTTAATTCATCTAATATTCACATCAATCATGATCAAATATTATAGGAGTTATAATCTAACCAAAACAAACTTCAATATAATAATAATAATAATTAATGACCATAATTTAATTCCTGGATAAAATTAGGCTTTGTACACTAGCTTTTTTGTGCATCCAATATCCGTCGGATACCGAGCACGGTCTCTATTAAACTAATCATCCAAACAAATGTGTGCATTTTGCAATTACGCTAATGGCTTTGAAATTGCCTGATTGAAAGCCTAATAGGTACGGCGTCCATAATAACCACCATGAACGATGTCCTCATCCATGCAAGGCGACACGTTCACGGTCGTTGCTCGATAGGAATGTAAATTAATTTAATGATGGGTCATGTTTTGTGACCAACAATGAGCCACAATTGGCGTGACCAGCTGCAGTTTGTGTGATTTTGTAACAGTGATGGAATGTCGCTTAGGTAGCGTTTGACTGTGAATGATGAACGATTCAACGTTCCAATGCCCGATGAACTATAATAATATGACGCGAATTTTTTATAAATCGTCGAAGTAAACATTGTTTGAAATGATTACTCTTTGCTTGTCTTCCATGCAGCATTCATAGCTCATACAAAAAAAATACAAAAAAAAAATTAAAAACAAAAATACCTGAGAACTTTTAACGCGAGAAGTTTTTCTCATTATTTTACTAGATCAATTTTATTTTGTTTCAGAATTGAAATTCGTGAAGAACTTGACGGGAAAGAAAATAGCAAGAACTTTCAACTTATATCAAGTGAAAATGTTCAAGCTAACGGATCATAATTGTCACTCATTTTTAGGGACATACTGGCCAAATTGTTGCTTATTTTTCGACAATTCAAACAAAGGCACAACAAATTAAAAACGCACCAAATACAAATGAATCTTGCTGCGTAGTGTACAAATAAATATTTAAACAAATAACTCCGTAAACCTTGTCGAGTTATAAATTTGTGTCATGAAGGTAATAATTGATGATATTCCTGGCAGGAGAATGTAGCAGCACCTCGGCCTGAGGAAAGCTTTGCTTGGAGAGACAAGGAGGCACAGCAGCTGAAGACATCGCTGCCGCGCTCGCAGAACCCAACAGTCACGCTACTCCAGAAGAAGAGAGGTCAGTCTTAAGCACGCGTTGCTTTAGAAGTCACTATTGTTAAAACAATGAGTGATGAAATTTGTGGCAGTAGGGCGATGCATTGAAAATTGAGAATATTTTTACCTTGAAGTATATTGAGACGGCAGACCGTGCAGCGCTCATACCGATCCAGCATTTATAAATGCATGATCGACAACGACTTCTCGGACTGAAGCGAGTTACAGAAGACAGGATTAATGATTACTACTCGGTTTAAAAGAAAATGTGTTCTCCTTATAGTTTTTTTGAAATTGCATTTGAATAATTTCTTGCTTTTATGCTGTTATTCCACATGATAATATTACATAAAAGCTAAGAATTTATTTTTTCAAAGTGAAATTTGTTTCCTCCTATTAATCGTGTTATTTTTTATATGATTCTCGTAATCGATTCATCTCTAGCGCTTGGTTACCGTAGTCGTGAATATTTTCCTTCTAAAACTGTTTACGGTTTACAGCGTTCATGTTTGGAGTTTCTTTGTTCTAAATGTTTGACAGTTTAACTTCACATTTGTTTCCATTTTTGTCCGTCGTTGCTCGATTTTTACCAAAGCATTTTCAAAACATGCGTTCATGAAATGAATCCTGACGCCTTTGTTAAATAAAAACATCTAAATAGAATAGTCGGGAGAAGATGGACCACCTTTCCTGATTTCTTGGATATAAATTAAAAAAAATCAATGGAATAATATATTCCTTGATGAACTCGTATACGTATATGATGCTCTGGATATTGAAAAAGAATAAGGAGAATGAATTCTCGCTCATCCTATTGGCTGTATTTTCCAATTGATTTCTTTTGAGCAGGTGATCAGCTTCTCGCTGGAGGTAATTTCATTTATTTTTTTATTGTGGGCTTTGGATTCCGTTTAGCGTCACTGCATGCATGGTGTTCCTTACCAGCTGTAAATACATACATTAGCCGCACTTAGCTGGTGAAAAAAATGCTTTATTCAAATTATTCATATAATTATTCATGAAATTTATAATCATTCATTTACTAGTGGATCACGTCAAATTTTCTTTCAAGATGACGACAAATCTCTATTGAGTGGTCAATACAGTTTGATCAACAGTAACTAACTTTTAACTTTTTTCTCCAATTCCTGAATAGAATGAAAACCATAAACATCAAGATTTGTCATTTGCGCCTCCACCTCACTTATTTGGTAATGAATGGAATCGCCAGTCTCTGCATTGAGAAATCTGAAACAATAAATTTACAACGAGATCTTCTTATGGTCAATTTCTATTCCAAACTTTATCGTACGAACTTCAGATCACGCGTCCAATGAAATGATTTGTATACGATATGCATTTACGTTGCGATTTATCGTTGTCACTCACTTTAATCTGCATGGTAGTGTTGAATATTTCTCGAAATTGCATCCTTGCATCAAATATGAATACTTCTGTGTAATACACCACATTTTCAAACAAACAATTCTGAAATGCAATATCTCCTCTCTGCCGTAGGTAAAATTGTACTCACAATGTAGTTTCCTGAAAGTACTCCAGCTATGGAAAAAATAAAAATGTCGGAGCAAATTATCCTTTGAATTCCGAATAATCAACCTTTCAAATGGGAAAGGTCCTATCTTATCTAATGGTGACGTTAATACGGCCTAACGTATTTAATTCGCTAATGCTTCATGCACGAGAATCTAACATTTGGGTGATATAAAATTAAAATAAAATCAAAATTGCGCAAAAGCATAAACTTAAAATATGAAAACATAAATGCCTTCAATCACGTTTCCGACACTATGATGGGGGTACTTTATTTTGTCCAAGGGTCAAGTTCATCGTCTAGCGTTATGCCTCTTGTTATTTGGAACCTATTTTGTTGTATTTACGTCAAATCTGTGTCCAATATATCGTTATAATTACGTTTGCATCCCATGATAAATAATTTTAAAGTTCACATGGAGTCGCCTGCTCCTCGATGTTGTTATGATAAGATGCTGTATTTTGTACCACTAATACTGCACGGTAGGATACATTGTACTCTTGCTGTATGACCCGACCCTTCATCTTAGATGTTATTTTACAGAATAGTATTTATTTCAAGAAGAAATTTCAAGAAGCAGATCGTACCATCAAAGTTACTTTATTTTATGTCCCTCTTTGTTCATTGTTTATGATAGTTTGTCCAGTGACGAATAATTCCAATAAGTTGTTTGTCATCGTGGTCCAATTCTCTCATGAACTTTCATTCTGAGTTATTAAGAGCCATCAGCTTCAATGCATAAAAAGCACATGAGTTATAATGAAGATAATTATTACATTACTTTCGATCTCGTAATTAATTCCACATAAAAAAAAAACAGATGTATTCATACGTGCAAGAAATTGTGCTTAATTCAAGCTTAAACCGTAATGGGAAGAAAGCGGTTCTTTAATTTTAATGCTTGATAATGTTTTCGTATCAAATAGTTAGTTGCAATTATTTCACCGAATGCCTTAATAATGCTGAATTGAAAACAAAATGAATTAATATTTTTCAGAACCCTCTTTAATTTTCGTACCACCCGAAATGCCCTCGCATATCACAGCTCGAGAATCACAGAAGTCGGTGAACTGACATTTGCTATGTGCAAATTATCTATAACATTTCTTATGTCTTAATAATCAGCACTTGGCTAAAGTGCCATTTTATTATATTTTTAGCATATAACAATTTTACATTTTCTATTACGCATATATTACTAAATTTCAGTTATCTTAACTAAACGTTCAGCTCTCGTTTATGTTGATGACGATAACTGCTTATAATCAACAAGGGTTATTCGAGTACCAGCGTTTGACTGCTATTTATCACGCTTTTTGGTCATTTATGTCAGATAATTATCATACAATTATGTTTAACATGTTCTAAATAAAAGTTGGAAATAGGTTTCACTATTGTCTCATAAGAGGCTTCTTCGATAATATTGGATCGATGGATCGAAGCATGATGTGAAAAAATGCCCTAGTGTTCATTCTTCACCTATAATCATCAAGTTGTTTGTCCTCTACTTCGTGATTCGTCCTGCTTTCACTCGTGTATTAAAAAAATGACGATGAAACAATTTAATTAAAATGACGATGAAACGAACTCAAAATTGAAGCGTTAACTGAATTTTATTTGTTATTTAAATCCTGCATACCTCTCACCCCGTGCCTGGTGTGCCGCGTGCAGAGGGCCACATTCCCTCTAAGCGACCCGAGTACCTGTCTGGCGACGAGTCTTCTTACTACAAACCTTCTGATAAATGTGAGAGTCTTGTTAGTGTTATTCCTACCATAAATGTGAGCGTTTTGTTAGTGTTATTCCTACCATAAATGTGAGCGTCTTGTTAGTGCTATTCCTGCCATAAATGTGAGAGTCTTGTTAGTGCTATTCCTGCCATAAATGTGAGCGCCTTGTGAATGCTATTCCTACCATAAATGTGAGCGTCTCTGATAAATGTGAGCGTCTTGTTAGTGCTATTCCTGCCATAAATGTGAGCGTCTTGTGAAATCTATTCCTATCATAAATGTGAGCGTCTCTGATAAATGTGAGCGTCTTGTTAGTGTTATTCCTACCATGAATGTGAGCGTCTTGTGGATGTTATTCCTACTATGAATGCTTGCGAAACACCGTTGCTTTGAAGCCTTTACCTAAATTTTCGGGATGATTAAATTGTGTTACCTGAAAATTATTATTCCCATTATTCCCATAATAATGAAAAAATGTTGCGTGCCATATTCCTGGAAGTCTCTTGAATAATGTTTTTGTAATTGCAATCATTAATACTGGCCACTTTTCCCCTGACCAACCTCCGTGATTCTTCATTCAAATATCATAACTATGTTCTATCTAATTGACTTAAGCAATAGCGGTATTACCCTCGTATTATTTCGATAGCGGTATTACCCTCGGTATTACCCTTATATTACCCTCAGTGTACACGATCAAGCGCGAGTATGAGAGCGAGGACGACGATACGGGCAGCAGCCGACGCTTCGCCGTGCTGGGGCCCCGCAAGATCGATGGCGTGGGCCCCACCACCGTCGACGGCGTGCCTGTCTCTCTTAAAACTGTGAGTGCTCCTCGTCTGCTTATATATAATATATTGGTATAATGGCGAATGAGAAGCTGTAAATATGCATTCAATTTTTATGTGTGTGAGGTACAACTTAATCAAGTAGCGGAAATTGGGTGAAAATCATTGGTGCTATAATTTGCGTTCATAATTGAATTTTCCGGCACGCATTATCTAATTTTTATTTCAATAGTTTTAATGTATCCTAATTAATAGCCGATAAAGTGTTGTATGATATTCAGTTTTAAACACAGTGCTTGCCATATTTGAGAACATACGTTGAACAGTCGCGATTTATTTGGCTCATCTAACACGAGCGACGTCACTATAACTGTAAAACACGACACAGTCTAACCAATTATAATAAAAAACTAAAAACATACATTCATGTTTTAATTTGCACGCTGCCTAAAGGATAGATTAAGACTTTTCAAATTACTCAAACTTCGTTCTAGAAGTCATAAGCTCGATAAGGTCTGTACAAACTGCCACATTTAGCATGTCGTGCTTGGCTCCTTGTAGCATTTTGTGATGCAGGTTGCCCGGCATTATGGTGGTTATTTTTCACGATACTTTTGTTTCGCTATGATTTTTATCCAGGAAACTGGTTGCTAGTAAATAATGAAATACGCATTTTACATTTTTTCCGCCGTCTGAATGTTGTTTTTTATAGTAAAAAAACTATGAACTACTACATATCCTCTACAAAGGCATATCAGACGCTACGAGATCATTCAAACCTTTTTCCGTAGATAATTATTTGGCTCCATCCTGGTTGATTAATTTACCTGTTTTATGTCTGTTTTTCTTATAGTATATATTTAACATAGAAGTGTAAATGTAGACTTAGAATCAATTGCGAACATGAAAAATTCTATTTTGCAATTTGTGTACTAGCATTTTGGTCCATATTAATTATCTTTTTGTGACACTGAACCGCTACGTTGTAACCGGCATAATCAGACAAAATTTAGATTAAGTAGAGACGAATAGAACCTCAAATTAAAAATGTGTAGATTTTTTACAGCTTTCTTTCTGGTCAAGTTCAATTATTCCTTGAATAATGCTTGATGACATATAAATAATTACATTTTTGCATGAGCCACGAAGTAAAAATATGATTGCTTAAGGGTTGGAGTTATGCAAGTTTAAATTTCAAAAAATTTCCCTGCGAGGTAATTAGGGCTTAATTGAATGAAGCGATCGTTACATGTATTTCCCCATATAGGTGAAAGCCTTCGAATTTGGGAAAGGAATGTCCATTTATTGCACGCATGAAGATTTATGACAAATATCCAATCGTTCGCTTCCAATTTTGGAAGCACCGTTGCCTGACAGATTTTTTCGCAAGTTTTGCATCATTGTTTGGTACCTGTTGCATTCATTGTTCTTTATTTTTAAGATTCTTCAATTTTCCTCTTCCCGTTTACGCACATCTGATTGTTAATTGTATTGGTCTCAGTTTTCTATGTATTGTTAAGTTAAATAGTGAAATTGTCGGTTTGAATTGACATTTGAAAATTATTTATTATCCTGTAGAATTATAAATTTTCTCATTGATCCTGATCGAACTGTAATTACGTATGAACATCCGTTTATATACTTGCACTAATTATACTCCTTATTTGTTCAGGCTTTAGAAATTATTTTAAATCTCATAAATTGACTTTTTTGGAGCTGATTTTATTTAATCTTAGATATGTAATTCATTAGCATCATTAATTGCAGGGAGTGAAGTCAGAATACCAAGGAGACTGGTACCGAAAAATGTTTGACTCTCTACACAAAGTAAAAGACGGTAAGTTTGTTATGCATGTGCACAATTTTGAGCTTTGCTTCGGGTAACATTTGACATTCTACTTAGTAGGATTGTTGGATTATTTGATAATGACAAGTTCCATTCGAATAATCTTCCCAACCTGATGAAAAACCGTGAATTGTGGTGTGTTTGAATTGTGTCTTGTAATTTTTTGATGCTTGTGAGTTTTCTACTGGCATTGGCGATTAAATTTATTAATGAATGGTTTTGACATAGGATGTGATTGGGGTTAAAAAATTATTTTCAAGTGCATAAAGGTATCTGATTTTCTATGAGCTAAATTTGGAATGATAGGTATAATGGTATATATATAAATATGGTGATTTGCTTTTTAGTCATTTTGAATACGGGACGTCCGGTATTACTTCACCACTAGCAAGCGCGATGGTCACCATCGTAGTTTCAGTAATTAAAATTTTCTAATTAAAATCAATTTTTTTTTTGGGTTGATATTCCTTGCAATTGCTTTGTTTGTTGAAAAAATAGCCACTTGAAACGACGCTCGGAATTCAAACAGCATTTCATTCATCGCGCCCTGAAATTTTCGGTCCTATTAAATAACATTTTTAGCAATCTGAGACGGTATAGTGTAGAATTTTCATCGTGATTTATTAACTATCATCTCGTATATGTCTTCTTGCAGACGATTTCGTGACGGTCAAGTATAAAGTTCCCCGAGGTATAGAATCCGTTAATTCAGTTTGGCTGAGATTCCACTCATCACGCAATACCATGCACGTGCAAAAATGACAAGAAAAATTTATCCATTGCCTCACAAATTTTCTTTACTTGAATTTACATTATGGTCTGTTAAATAATGAATTCAAATTGGAAATGAACACTATGTATATATAACTATACTGAAACCTGAACAGAGCAAATTCAAGCCAGAATACCAGATTTTGCATTATATAAGCGAATGGTTTGGCATATCCAAAACTTGCATAACAGAATAGATTAGTGAAATCTTTCGAAGCAGTGCGAGTGCGTGTTTAGTGGAATAAAAGCAATACTCGTTATTTATTAAGCTAACACTGGTCTCTATTTCATTTCTATTTTTTTATTGCATTTGCACTTCTGACTCTTAGTTTTGAATGCTTGAACTATCTTCAATTTTCGTATGTTCGAGCTGAGTGACCTTGCCCCGGCCATTGTTATACGCTGTAATTTTGTACGTTTTTTGGAGTACTATTGAGTTGGTCATCTAAATTTGTATCTTGTTTACACGAACAAAGTTCATATTCTGTTGCTTCGGTTCCTTGGAATCTACTCGTTAGTAATATCCGAATTTAATTCATTCAGAAATCCCATCGAAGGTGATTTATAATCTAATTTGAAGATTTATGATAAGCAAAATATTCATGTTCTCTTGTCACATGAGCCATGCGATTAGAAATTGCCACTCAAATTTTGACATCGTCGCTATAAAGAAAATTTTTTCCAATTAAAAATTGTGATTAACTTCAGGTAAGGTTACTCATCTCCGCATGGCCTTCGCTGTTGCTTTGTACAAGTTTTATCTCAAATGATTTTCATCTTGTTTATACTTTTTTCAGCAGTGATATCAAATGTCCACCAAAATTTTCTCCGACTTAAATTCTAGAGTTCAGATGAGCCTGATTACAAAAAACATATTCAGAACGAAATAACTTTCAAATCTATCAATATTAACACAGAACCTTTGAAGATACATAAAAATGAGAAATACTAGCTTCATTTCTGCAGAAAATCTCTTTCCTCTATTGGTATATTTTTTTGGGAGGGATCCAGAAATGAGAAAAAATGGCTGTATTTAATTCAAATACTGAATGATGATTTCGCAAATTTTAATAAATCTCCTCTTTATTGAAATGAATTCTTACCAGGAAATGTATGATCGCAATTTTCCGCCTTCCCGTTTCCGCATGGGCAATTTTATTCCTGCAGGCAATTATAATTTGACTGTCTCTATTTTAATTTAAATGCTTACCGATGGCGTAGCACATCTATAATGGTCACCCCCTAATCCTTTGTGTATTGAAGGCAACGCCTCGGACTGAATTGCATTGACGAAGTCAATGCATCCGATAGAAAAATGCCAAACGAGCGCTGACTAGGTTTATATTTGTATGACTGACTTGTATTTATGTACATTGATTGGCACTATATCAGTCTATAAGGTATGAAGTCACAATGAGAAAATTTGTTTGATTGAAAATTATTGTTTTTATTTCAACTTTGTCGTGAATCATTTTTTTCTTTTGGAGAATTACCTTTTATTTTGCTACGCGTATCTTACGTTGAGAATTTATTTCTCCCAATATTTCTGTTTAATTTGTTCCCGAGCTCTACCTCTCCAAATTTTTTGAATGCTCGCTTGTTGTTTGTGATGATGAGCTAACTTAACCTGCAGTAATCCCGAACTGAAAAAAATAATTTGTCTCTATGACATTTTTGAGCTACATTTATTTATTTTTTCAATTTATTTTGCTTCTATTTCTTACTTTTATTTGGTTTGAATTTTGGCTGCCCTTCAGACCCACATCGTCGACCTGGTGGCCGAGGTAAAGCTGTGTTTAAATCTTAACATTTTCCATAGAACTAATTATTGAAGTTCTTTCAGAATATTGTTTTGCTTAGCAAGGAATGAGTAGACCATCTAAGTCTCTGTGAAGCAAGACTGATATGGAGATTTGATTTTTTAGAGTTGAATGCGAAATAAGCGCTACTGGTACATCGAAAATCAGTATGCACCGAAATCAGTCTTACTAGACTGTCAGTCTAATCAGTCTATGCACTTATCAGTCATGCGAAATTATTAGATTCTAAAATTGTTATTTGACATTATAATCGAACTCCTTCTGTTGCATTCAATGACATTACGATTTTTGGGGGGATTTTAATATGCAAATACTCAATTTGAAAGAGTTCGATTGTATACAAATTTTTCCGTTTTTGTAATTTTTGTAGGGTCAGAATGAATACAAATTGATCGCACTCGAGTAGTTTTTTATTGACAATTAATGGTGCGGCAATTGGCCCAATTGAGTATATATCCGCTGTGAATTCACACCAATTAGTGTCCTTCTCTTTCCGTTTCTTACTTATTGAATCAAAATTTGAAAATATTTATGACAAATATTTTATTGATCGTACAATCAACCTCCACCATAGGCCGTAATATTTTGACATCATACCTGAGGCGATAACTGTCTATCCAATCCCAATAAAATATTTTCATTCGCACATTAAGTGTGAATAACATAAATGAATACACTATTCTCTTCCTCTAACTATCCTTTGAATAACTTCTTTTTTACTCAAAATGTTGCTTGGCCAGAGATCAGTAATAGCAGCTTTGTAGTGCATCTTATGCCTGGGCTCTTGCCTCCACTGCATTTGCTCTGTGATAAATTCGTTTCGCTTGTTTTACTTTAAGTAACTGACTTCCTTTCTTTGATAACGCGATAGTTTTTATTAGTTATTATATGACTTGCATTTTGTTCTGATATGTATTCCTCGATGACTAGCAAGTTTGGCTCAAAAATTTCACGAATTGCTTGAGTTAGCACAAGTTAATTTTTTGCTTGCTGCACACATCTTTTATTTTTAATAATTAATAAAGAGGGATAGTTGAACGCGGTAAAATAGGCAGAAACTAATGCAAGAGCTCCCTTCTCTGCTCTTCGTGCTTTTTTTAATGGTTCGTTGAGAATGGAGAAACGAACAGTTTTAACCTGAACATTAGACTTTAAATGCCTAATTTCAGTGAGAAAATAGCATTTGGTTGCATGGTTTTAGAACAACGCTATTTGCATGTTAGTTGATCTTAATTGAAGTTTGTCAGTTGTTTATTTTATAATTTTTCATTTTTAAAATATTATTTTGCATTAAGAATTTTGAAAGTGAATTTTTTATTTTTATATACATGATAATAATAAATGTCCCCTTTTACTATAGTCCCATAATCGTTTACATTGAAATCCTGTCCACTTTCCGATTTTAAGCCCCTAACTCGATGTAGTATTTCATATAAATCATCTCAATGTTTAGTTAATAATTTGGTAATATGTCTGAGCCATAGATAAAATATAACTCTAAATGTTTTTCCAAGTAAAAATACAGCAAGTATTGAATGACCAGTTGTTATTTCAACAAATATTGCCCAATGATCGCTTGGAAGAAATTTATCATCAGATCTCTGAGCGTAATATTAAAGAAGGACTTGTTCGGACACACAGTTCGTTATGGCAGCAGCGGCTACATGTCCGAGCCCGAAGGCTATGACTCCGACTTCGGTCTCTCCTCCCGCTACTCGACGCTGGACAGGCGCGGCAGAGGAGGGCTGGACTGGGACCCTAACGACACACTCTCCAGGTCAGTTACGTGTTTCACTTCGAGCACTCAATCATTAGTTTTATGAATGTCTTTACAGCTCTAAATTAGTTATTTGACGCCTTAATTCTATTATATTTTTTTATTAATATGTTTGCTCGTGATAATTTTGTGAGTTGAAGTATTTAGGCATACAAATGCTACATCCAATATAAGTAAGTAACTTCTTTTATTTTTATTGGCCTTGATTCTTCTAGCAGTTTATTTTTTATCGCGATCACTCAGACGTGCCGTTTTTTAGGCACTTCCGCGAAATCGTTTTTACGTTTTTAAGCACTTTAGTTCACTTACGCGAAATCGTTTATATTTTATGGCGATTGTATTTTGAAATGTCCGCTATTAAATGGCTAAAGTTTTATAACGCTTTTATTTTATCTCCAAAAATCCATCAATATTTCAGATGAAACCATCATTTTGAGGATGACATCATCGCATTATGATTTAGCTTTAATTTCCTACGAGCAGGATTTTTTTACCTTCGCATAAAATTGTTTGCATTGTATTGTACTTCCGTGAACCTTAAGCTGCCACATTTGTACAACGGATTCGACTTCAGAAGTCTTATTAATTACAACGAAAGGTCATCATCACCTTGCTAATATGTTCTTTGTTTGTACCAAAAAACGCCAAATGACTGAGTAGATTTTATCCTAGGCGCAACTCGCAGAGCCATAGACGATTTCCATTTATTTTAATAGATTAATTCTCATCAAAGTTTTGGAGACGTTACAGAGTTTTGTCGTTGAACCGATTTAAATCAGTTTATTACCATGCAACGAAAATGCATCGGTTTTATTCCAGCTGTGTTTTCTGTTTTTGACGAGCCTTGCAATGTCGTCTTGTAATCATGGGTTTAATGTGCGACTATAAGGGCGAGCGCGTCGCGGCGTGGCCTATTTCTTTTTTTCATCTGTGGTACAATATTTCAATTTGCTTATTATTATTTACACAAATTGCAATAGGAGTTTTTACGCTCAAATCTTTAGCGTCTAACTGTACATATGTCGCTTTTCTGTGATTTTTGTTTATATATGAAGTTAATTCGTCCGATTGAACAAATATGTTGGCTTTAATTTCAGGCTGCGATATGCTCTGTTGGAGGTTTTTGACGCCTGTCCGGTTTTTCAATGAATAAATTGTAGTTATGTTGTATATATGCAATGTAGTATTTTGCACTTGCAAAGTAGCTACTAATAAAGGGTTAAGGAACAGCTAGTGCACCAAAGGAACACAATGACCGTGCGCAGAACAGTTCTTCGTACGCTTGGAACAGAATATTTATCTGGTTGAGGAAGAATGTTAACTGTACGACCTCTTTGTTCAAATTCAGTAATTATTTACATATATGGACCGCTGGCCCATTTTCCTCAGTCCTAAACTATATTATTGGCTCCGTCACAATGGGTCCCATTATGCGGATCAATAATTATCCCTATTCCCTATTAATAATTTATGGATGTGCGATCGATTTCAAAGTATTTGGCTTAAGGAAATCGATACGACGTCGGTTATTTTTAATGATATTACATCAACAGAAATGATGCTGAACAAGGCGGCGCCGAACGGTAAGAGTCTCTTCTTACATTTTATATGTTTTTTTAGCCATAAATATCGACTTTTTTGCAGTCTGTCGTAAGAAATGAATATTTTTTTATGTTAGAGAAACAATTGTTTCTTTTTTCATTAGACGAATATTTTCTTTTACAATTAAGTAACGGAATTTTAAATTATTTTTCTAGTTATGACTTTCATTGATGCATGGAGTAAAGTATTAAAGTTGCATTAATTACGTTTAAATTCTGAGCAGTGAATTTTCACCTAGATATTTTATTTCAAATTTCGTTAGTCCTGGCAACTATTCCTACTCTCTAGCACGCAATATGTTTAGATGAATTTAACATTTTTATATAGAATTGCTTGATTTTCTTATCAACGTCCGTCACCTTCGATGTTGAAGGAATGAATGTGTCTTTAGAAATTTAATGTTCTGTGAATATCTTAAGAATGGATTGATTTGCATTTTAGGAAATCACAGGTAAGTTATATGTAGAAACTTGAGTTAATCATGCCATTAAATACTTCACTTGTGTTTTCTTGATTGAAGCATAAAGCCCGCTCGGTGGAATTATGTCACTGTTAACAGATCTCCGCGAAGTCGAACCACGTTGGTTTAACGGAGGTTCTAAGGAAAGTTAATGAACAGGTCGATCAGAAAATGAAATAGCTCTATGAGCATAAATTTATGCGAATAAAACAGTGTTGCTCTTACCGGATGCTGAGTCGGCCGTTCGATTTGCAACCGACCCACAGTTGCAATTAAACTCGCAGGTCATATTGTATATCGGATTCATCTGGTTTACACGCGCTTTGTAATTGCTTCAACTCGGTTACACCTTCGACTTCATGATTTATATTAAATTTTATTTGGTCGGTTGGTCCATTAGGCAGTATGAGAGTTCAATTGAACTCGCTGCTTCTTAAGGCATAAATCGTTAATAATCTGTTTGGTTTTCAGCTCTTTTCCCAGATTTACTCGTTATCCTTGTCATGCTTTGTTGTTGTTTAGTGCGACTCAGGATTGGCTAAGCAGCCTTGCCGGCAGCCGTGACCTTGCCTGTGGGGTCCATTTATAGACGTGGCGCGCGATTGACTTGGGTTCACGGAGGCCTAGATTGCCTGCGACCCAAATAATTAATTAATAACTATTCTATTCATAATAATTTATATCTCTTTGCTTGTCTAGATTGTCTGCTACCAAATAATTAATAACTATTCTATTCATAATAATTTATATCTCTTAGCTTAGTGTAAATTACTTACTTATTTTAATTAAATCGGTACCTCTGTAAGCTCTTTCTTTGAGGGAAAATTTATCCCCATTGATCGTATTTGTTGTAGCGCAGACCTAAATTATTGGTTTCTTGATTAATTAAAAGTATATGATTCGCTAAATAAATCGCTTGGATTCATGCTAAGTTTATTATAAATTTATTGCAAATGTAGTTGAGGAAAATAAATCGACTACTTTTTATGGCATCTTAACGATAATGCAATTAATTGAATAATTTACTATCCACTCGCTTGTCATTCACTACTACGCCGAAATTTCTATGAATTACGTATATACGATTTGTGTAATGCAAGACAATTGAGTGCGACTGCGTCGCTACCTCACAACGTCGTATTACTTTATCGCTTTATTATTGTTGCGCTACACAACATTTCTATACAATTCATTTCTGTTAAATTGTTCTGCTATCTCACCACTCGATTATCTTCCAATAATCAATATTTCTACTACCTCAAATACTAGTGTAATTAATTGTTGTATAATTATTGTTCTATCAACATCATTAATTATTTTCATACTATGAGTTTAAACGGAAGTTCTGAATTACATTTCTGGCACATTTCAATAATTCTTGAATAAAGCATGACAGGAGTTCATCACAATCTCTCATCTTCACATTCGCATGTTGAGGTCAGTTTATCGAATCACGGAAGGAAATCGATGAGCGTCTATAAATTTTTCTTGTCTGGAAGCAAGCCCCAAGGAACTAGTGACAAAAGTATAACTTTGTTCTTTCACAGTGAAAAGAGAACGAGGGATTAGCGCCTATAATTTGTCTTGTGTGCCTGGTTTGCAAAATTCAAATATATGAGCTTAGCAGCCAAGGCATGCAAGAGAGCATTAGTGAGAGGGCCGAAGCACTATACCGATCGCCTTCTATAGAGACACTTCAGACAATAAGTTACATATAGTGTATGGAAGTTACTAGTTGAGACTAAAAAGTGGCTAAGCAAGAGAATCTTGGATCTAGGCAACAACATCTACGCTCTAGCCTCTAGGCAACATCAGTGCGGTTCTACGCAACATCAGAGCGGTTCTAGGCAACATCAGTGAGGTTCTACGCAACATCAGTGCGGTTCTAGGCAACATCAGTGAGGTTCTACGCAACATCAGTGCGGTTTAGGCAACATCAGTGCGGTTCTAGGCAACATCAATGAGGGTCTAGTCAACAGAAGCTGCAGGGTCTAGGCAACCCAGGCAAGGGTCTAGGCAACCCAGGCAAGGGTCTAGGCAACATAAGCAAGGGTCTAGGCAACCCAAGCAAGGGTCTAGGCAACCCAAGCAAGGGTCTAGGCAGCTCCTTACGTCAGTGTTCGGTCGTGAGGAGGTTGTGAGAGACGTCGCTCCCTGCTCTCTTGGCAGCGCCAGGCTCATGCAAGGCTTCCAGCCTGCCGAGATAATCGCTCGTCTGAAGAACTCATTGTTGGCACATTATGGCATTGGAACAAGTTGCAAGTGAATGCATAAAATATCAAGCAAAGCTGATATTTTAATTAATTTTTTTCTGTGTAATATTTGGTTATGCAAAAACGTATTCCAAGCCTGAGGGCACGTGTTTGGATTATTGGTGGTTAATAGTGGTGAGGAACAGACAAAATAATTTATTATGGTGCAATTATTATTTATCGTTAGATCTGAATTATATACATCGATTGTATGACAGGAGAATAACTCGTGCCATTCTCTTCTACCTGGTGTCTGAAGCTACTATATGTTATATACTTATTTCATTTGATGAAATATACGGGAAGTTTTACAGATTTTGAATTTAACACGAATAATTTTGGTCACACGTGTATTCAGTTCAACTTCGAATACATCACTTCAATGAAATAACAATAGGAAACTCGTGTGTTTCACTCTTGGAATTTTTCTATTCGACTGTCATTGAATTAATATCTTTTAGCTCAGCACGTAATAGTGTTTTTTATATATACGATGGTGACTACTTTTTTTTCTAGCTAATAATCCTGATAGCGTGAATGAGTCGCCTGGCAATGAACCATATTTGTATTTCTTTTAGTTAGCGATGGTACAGTGATCAATTGTACATGATTCTGCAAATTAAAGTAACATATCTAATGGAGCCTGTATAATTGCATGCATAATGTATATGTGTTGTATATTGCACGCTGCTTTCGATTGAAATATCTTGCTAGACTTTGCTCCTATATTCAAACTAGTGGATGTGGATGAATTGTTACGTATAATTACTCCACGACAATATAATACATTTCTTCAAACAAATATTTCTCTTTAGCGTGCGCTAATAAATTTCTCGTATTCAATCACTTTTTTGTAATGACATTTTTGTTATTTCATCTAGAACGAATTGTCTAATGAGTTGTTGTTTATTGGTATCATTTATATTTAACTAAAAGAAGCAATAATTACATGAGAAATTACGTTCATTATCTCATTTTTCTTCAAATATTGTACGATTCAAGTTTAGGAAGCTTATGACTTATTGAATGAAATTGCTTGCATTATTACAGTATAGGAAGTAAACGTACGGCACAGATACGATTATCATTAGAAATACGAAAACGTAATGGCTGTAAAAAGTTAATTCGAACTTTTATTAAGCTATCAAATTATTGACGTACTTGTCAGCATGGGTAGAAAAGACTTAGGGGCCAGCAGCGCTTATGAGGTGTCAGTGCCACGGTCAGGGCTGTGAAGCATGAAGCTGCGGTTACACGCTTAGGAATCAGTGGCAGGTATCAGTGACACTCCTCACTTGTATAATTGCACATAGTCTTAACTAAAGATATCAGTGATACTCATAACCGCATAGTGTTAAAACCCAGGTATCAGTGATACTAGTCAACATACGTATCAGAGATGCTCTTCTTCTTACCCAACGTCAGTTTTTATGAGCAGATGCAAGTAACAATCGTATTTATTAACGCACTTTGTCATTTTGGTGTTAACATTTAAAGAGATACGTGTACTACTGAAACCATTTTCTGGCACGAGATAAAATTTCGTGATCAATGCTACAAATATTCTAATACAAGATCTTGGATGACGTCATTAATCACATCCGTTCGTGCCACGTAGACTATGGGATTAATCAGGCATGCGATCATTAGCATCACTGATGCCATTAATTAACCTGGACAATTATGATGAACTATGCATGCATTTAATGGCCTATGAGACGGCGTCTCGATCGTGTGTCTAGGACACGATTGAGTCGGTTTAGCTACAGGCTATTTAGAGCGACACTATAGAGGCATTCAAGGGGATTGGATAATTTTGTATTAACCGACTTTCATGGGTTATTATAAGTCCAGGTTAATCTTTGTTGTTTAGGCAAGTAGGTCACTCAAGACTGAATCATTATTCAATTTTAATAATGCTCCCTCTTTTTGAAATAATTTTTTGCAATTAAATTTAATTTGTTTTTAAATTCTGATACAAATATATTCTATTTAATATCAGAGAAATATTTTTTCCTTGCTGGGTCTCCTTTCCAGTATCTTTTAAGCATTCAAATTAATATCTTAAATCAAGCGAGGAGAATCGATAGACTAGCTGAAGCTAATTCAGCTTCGGTTGAAAAGACCATAAAATTATTTTCACTATTTTCAATTATTTTGAATTTTTTGTCTGTCCAAGGATTAATATGAAAATGCATGAAATTTACACTTTCATGTAAATCATGAAAATTAATATTTGAAAAAATAACGTTCAAAATTATCTTCAGCT